AGAGGAGTAGCGGTGTACGTCAAGGATAGGATTTATTCGAAATTAATATATGCAGACGAGGATGGTAGAACGGTGATGGTCGAGTTAGTATTGGAAAAAAGGAAAATACTATTAGTAGTAATTTATGCCCCTAATCAAAACCAACAGGAATTTTTTAAGGGTTTACATAATAAAATGGTAGAATTGGACTATGAAGATATCTGTTTAATTGGGAACTATAATGTGATAGCAGATGTGAAAAAAGATTACAAAACAAATAAAAAGAATAAGGAAAAAAAAAGAAATACTTCCAAAAGAATTTTTTAATATGGCCAGGGAAATAAATTTGAGAGATGTTTGGAGGGAAACCCATGAAGATCAGAACCAGTTCACCTATTACTCTCATCCCCATCAATCCTGGTCCAGGATTGACATGGCCTGGATGACTGCAAATATTAGAAATGGGGTTGATAAAATAGAGATAGAAGCAAATCAATGGGCAGACCATAATCCAACTCTTGTAAACTGGAAAAGAGAAAAAACATTTAGGAGATGGACGATGAATCAAAGAATTTGTAAACAAAAAGAATTTAAACATATGTTAGAAAAGGAATTAAAATTATTCTTTAAAATAAATAAAAAAGAAGATACTTCTCTACAGAATACTTGGGATATGGTAAAAGCATATATAAGGGGCCTGACTATTGGATATATAGGAAAAAAAATAAAGAAAGGAAACAACATCTAGATAAACTACAGGAGGAACTTAAAAATATAGAATATAAACTTCAACAATATCCCCATAATAAAAAAATAAAAGAAGAATGGAAGTTTAGCTAAACGCTAAAAGAATTAGCGCAGAAAATAAAAATGGCCAAACAAAATTACTTTGAGTTGGTGAACAAACCAGGTAGATGGCTGGCCTACAGACTGAAAAAAGACAGAGACAAAAGAATGATATATCAGTTTAAAGATGAAAATGGGGAAATCCACTATAGTATGAAAGTGAAAAAAGAAATTATTCGGACATTTTATGCAAATTTGTATAGACAAGAAGAAATAGAAGAATAAAAGATAAAACAATATATAAAAAGGTCAGACACACCTGTAATTACAGATGAACAAAGAGAAATGTTAAACAGGCCAGTAACCGAGATGGAATTAGATGATGCATTGAAAAAGCAAAAAAATAACAAAACACCAGGCCCAGATGGCCTTCCGGTGGAATTATATAAAATGGTACAAGAAACAATAGGAGAGACCATGCTGGAGTTATACAACGAAGCGCTAGAAAAGACAAAAATTCCTCTATCCTGGTTGGAAGCAATAATTACAATTATACCTAAAGACGACACTCACCACCAATTAATTCAAAACTATAGACCAATATCTCTATTGAATACGGATTATTAAGTATTTGCAATAATTATGGCAGAAAGAATAAAAAAGTACTAAATGATTACATTCACCGGGACCAAAATGGATTTCTGCCGAGCCGTCAAATCAAGAACAATATGAGAATAATAATAAATGCACTCGAGTACTATGAAGCACATCCAGAGAAACAAGCTTCGCTGATTTTCCTCGATGCCCAAAAAGCATTCGACAACTTAAACTGGAAATTTTTAAAAGGGCAATTAGAGACTATGCAATTTGGATCAAACCTTGAAAAAATTATAGGACAAATATACACAAAGCAAATAGCAAAAGTAATACTAAATGACAACATTACAGATCAATTCGATATAACAAAAGGGGTTAGGCAGGGCTGTCCACTTTCTCCACTATTGTATATCTTAACATTGGAGATTTTGCTAAAAAAAATCAGAGAAGATCAAGAAATTAAGGGGTTAAAAATAAGAAGAGAGGAATACAAGGTTCAGGCTTTTGCCAATGACCTTGTATTTATAACTGAAGAGCCATTGGAAGTAGCGCCAAAACTGTTTAAGAAAATGGCCGGTTTAAAAATAAATTGAAATTAATTGAAATTAATAGTTAAAAATCTACGGATATTTCCAATGTTGGGACAATGGTACGTTTGGTTGAACAACAGACGCCCAAAAGTCAAGTATAACCAGGATTATGTTTAATATATGTTAAATCTGACTGAAGCCTACATACCGTAGAAAGTGTAAATATCATGTAAAGTTCCTGTCGCGATCATTTGTTTGACTATTTCTTTTTTTTTGATGTATTGTTTTAAATAAATAAATTTTTTTTTAAAAAAAATAGTTAAAAATCTTACAAAAATTCAGGAGACAGAATTGGAGAACAGTATACAAATCCAACAACGAAGAAAATAAAATATTTAGGGATCTGGCTGTCACCAAGAACTTCGTCAATAAAAGAAAATAACTATGACTAATTAATAACACAGATAAAAAAAGATTTGGATAATTGGAAAAACCTACAAATATCATTACTGGGAAGAATCTCCACTATTAAAATGAATGTCTTACCAAAGCTGCTGTATCTGTTTCAGGTTGTCCCAATAAAATTAGAGAAAAACTTCTTTGAAACTTTAAATAAGATGACTTCTAAATTCATTTGGCAGGGGAAACGCCCACGAATAAAACTTAAACTACTTCAGGACACTAAGGAGAGGGGAGGAACAGCACTCCCAGATTGGGAATTTTATTATCACGCGGCGGCGCTAGTATGGGTCAAAGACTGGATGGAACTGAAAAACAGCAGAATACTAACAATTGAAGGGCATGACCTACAAGTGGGCTGGCACTCCTTTCTAAGGGATGAAAAATATAAAACCCATATCTATTTTAAAAGACATACAATTAGGAATCCATTACTATTAATCTGTTTTAAAATTAAAAAGCAATAGTATACAAAAATACCGATCTGGCTCTCACCATCAGAAGCGATAAGACACCCAAATTTAACAGAACCTAAAAATATAATTAGATACAAAGACTTAATTGACCATCAAGGGAAACTGAAAACTAAACAACAATTGGAAGCAGATCTAAATAGAGAAATTGATTGGTGGTCCTTCTCACAGATTCAATCCAAACATAAGGAATATATAAAAACATATGAAATTTACAAAGAAAAACAAGAACTAGACAAAATTATATTAGACTCACAAAAGAAATTGATTAGTAAAATCTATAAATTTTTGTTGAGGTAGAAGATGGAGGAGGAAACAGTTAAGAATACAATGATTAAATGGATGCAAAATTTTACCTATGCAATACATTTGGAGAAATGGGAAGAGCTTTGGCAATTGAATAGGAAAGTAACATTAGCGGTGGCATATAAGGAAAATCAGCTGAAGATGTTTTATAGGTGGCATATGTCGCCCACAAGACTGGCTAAAATTCATCCCAAAAACAGTTCTCTATGTTGGAAATGTAAAAACTCACAAGGTACTTTTTATCATCTATGGTGGACGTGCCCGGCGGCAAAGAAATTTTGGTCCAATATCAAGAAATGGCTGGAACAAATTACTAATCTCCAAATAGATAAGAAGCCAGAAACCTTTTTGTTGGGAATATTTACAAAAACATACCCTAAAGATATTAAATATTTGTTGATACATATTCTAACTGCAGCGCGGATAACCTATGCCAAAAATTGGAAACAGGAAAAGACCCCAACAAAAGAAGTAGTAATTGATAAAATTATCCAATGTGCTGAAATGGATAGGTTAACAAAAGAGCTTAAGGAAAAAGAAGAGACAGAGTACTATAAAATATGGGATAAATGGTATCAATAGTATAACGTCACTATTTAAGAAATACAATTAGAAGAAAGATAGAATAGAAATGTAAATATATATACAACTAACTCCACATGGGTGCCTTCCGCCGTGCCCTTAAAACCTTCCTTTTCCAACAAGCCGGGCTGGCCTAATTCTTTTTAAGTGTTTTTAATTGTTTTGTTTATTGTTTTAATTAATGGGGCCAAATTTATATATATTTTTTAACTGTATTTTAATATTTGTATTTGATGTTTTTATTTGGCTGTTCACCGCCCTGAGTCCTCAGGGAGAAGGGCGGTATACAAATTCAAAAATAAAATAAAATAAATAAATAAATAAATAAATTTATAGAGGGAATTTTAAAGAGAAAGATATAATCTCATTATGTATTGTATATATTAATAAGGGGGGAATTTTTAGGGGATGAAAATGAGGGGGGGGGAGAAATGGAAAAAAAAATTATTAGAGTAAGATTAAGGGGAATAACTACAACTGTATTAATTGGAAAACTAATACGAAACAAATGCTTCAAAAGTTTAACTTACTTATACGTTGTTTGTTGTGTAAATGTTTTTATATGTGTTTTATATGTGTTTTATATGTGTTTTAATAAAGTTTATATTTTTAAAATTAAAAAAAAAAGACCACAAAGCAGCTTCTTAAAAACATATAGAACTTTTCCTTTTTTAAAAAAAATGCAATTATTTGTCTTTATTTAATTAAATGGAATAGAAAAAGAAACTAATGTAAAACCTTCTCTCTCTTTCTCTCTCACCTTCAAACATCCACATCTGCCTATTCAGGTACTTAGGAAGGGCTTGATAAGTGGATAAAAATGCCACATTCAATCTGAACATCTGTCTGTGCAACAAATTTGTAATGAAACATGGTCATCCTTCATTAAAATTATCCATGCATATCTTCAATAACTGAGAGGATGGTAGAACTTGGCCAAACAGTCTTTAGAAATGGCCAATTTATATAGGTAACACTGGTAATTTTTATCATCTTTATGGTATCTAGTTAAAATATTTACATCCTCCTTTCCTTTAAATAGCCAAGCAGCAGATCTAGGATCATTAGATGGATGCCTATAAATGAGCTAATAATCAATATATTTACATGCACATATACACCATATGTAATTGAAGTTGGTATAATACATTTGTTGTCACCCTTTTAGCAGGGAAAAATATTATTGGCCAGAACTGTTCTCATACACAAAAAATAATATGTTGCTCAGAAGAATCAAATCTATTATCACTGTTGACTATTATTTAGCAAATTGTGGAAAACCTCATACCTTCCTAAATTTTTCCATTTGCTTGTAAAGATCAGGATCCAGTTCTTGAGAAACATCTTTCATCCATAACAGAGCTCCTCGGTATTCAGTCCGACATTGTTCCATTCGGTTGACTGTCAACCATGTATCAGAAATAGCTCTGTATCTAAATGTCTCCACTTCTTGGTACAGTCTGCACAAAGGAGTGCGTAATGCTAGTCTATAGCAAAAAGATATACATGTGGGTTTAGGGAAGCTGTCTCAGAATGATTTTTTTGAGGTTGACTACCAAGCTCGTAAAATATGAGAACTATATATTTAATATAAGAAACATATTCAAGGTAATTAAAACAGCTGTAGATCTTCAAGTCTCATTTCAAAACACAGTATAGAAAATAGAATTTTCACAATAAAAACACAACCACACAACTACTTCCAATGCTTTCAGGGTTGCTGCCTTGAATTAAGTACATTTAATCATAACACACTAATTATAAAGGATTTAAAAGTATATTAAGAGTTTCTGATTGTTCAATCTCAGAATTCTTAAAAATTGACCTTGACAGGTAAACTGCCAAATACAACACACATCTTTCTTTCATTCTTTATTTGCAATGAATAAAATGTCATCTTTAAAGTATTTTGGCTTTATAGTGAATATATTATGGGTTTTCTCTAAACAATGTAAATCAAATATAAGTAGTGTTGATTAAGTGACTTATGACTACAATTGAGTCCAAAATTTCTGTTGCTAAGCAAAACATGCGTTAAGTGAGTTTTACCCGATTTTTTACCTTACTTGCTACATTTGTTAAGTAAATCACTGCATTTGTTAAGTTAGTAACACATTGTTAAGTGAATCTTGCTTACCCACCGACTTTGCTTATTAGAATGTCAGAAAAGGTGACCAGATGATCCAGGGACACGGCAACTGTCATAAATATGAGTAAATTGCCAAGCATCTGAATTTTGATCATGTGACCATGGAGATGCTAAAATAGTCATAAGCGTGAAAAATGGTCATATGCCACTTTTTTCAATGCTATTGTAAGTTTGCATGGTCACCAAATGAATTGTTGTAAGTCGAGGACTACCTGTATTTATAAACAGTGGATTTTGCCTAATATTGGTAGTTTTAAAGCATTTCAATTCAAGTATTAACAGAAATATCAAACTGGTTTGAGCTTTTTGTGCTATAAGAATATTTTTGTAATCATTTTATTAATATTTTTTAAATATGTAATTTTTAATAAATTTTATTAACCATCTCTATCATTTCATTAATCATTAATGAAAAAAAACAGGTTTTTTTAACTTGAACCTTTCTTTCACTAGGACAGAAAATGGGAAATCCTGAAATCCTGCCTTTGCCATGAACCCAGGTGGGTAATTTTGGGCCAGTCACTCTACCTCAGCCCGCTAACCTCACAGGGTTGTTGTTGTGGGGGAAAAAGGAGGAAGGTGTGTTGGATACATTATCTTGAGATATTTGTAAAAATAATAAAGGCAGGATACAAATAAATACCGTATCACTGTATTAATTACAGTATAGCGACATACCTACCTAGACCAAAATTGAGATTGATTTCCAATTAAATAATAGATGGATATTAAATATAGTATTTAGGATAGCAGTGAACATATCATTGAATTAACATAGTAGGTTAATGATAACAGAGAAGGGACCTTAGAGCTCTTCTAATTCAATTCCCCCCTCAAGCAGGAAACCCTATATCATTTCAGACAAATGGGTATCTGATCTCTTCTTAAAAACCTCCAGTGACAGAGCACAACTTCTGAAGCCAAGCTATTCCACTTGTTAATTGTTCTCACTGTCAGGAAATTTCTTCTCAGTTCTAGGTTGCTTCTCTCTTTGATATAGTTTTCATCCCTTGCTTCTTGTTTGCCTTCTGATACTTTGGAAAATAGGTTGAACCCCATCTTCTTTTGGCAGCTCTGGAATACTGGAACACTGTTATCATGTCACCCCTAGTTCTTCTTTTCACTAGACTACACATACCAATTCCTGCAATTGTTCTTCATATATTTTAGTCTCCAACGTCCTAGCCATCTTTGTTGTTCTTCTCTGCACTCTTTCCAGAGTCTCAACATCTTTTTTATATTGTGATGACCAAAACTATATGCAGTATTCCAAGTGTGGTCTTACAAAGTGGCAATAACACTTCACATAATCTTGATTCTGTCTCTCTGTTAATGTAGTTTAGGATTGCATTGACTTTTTTGGTGACTGCAGAACACTGCTGGCTCATATTTAAGTGATTGTTCTCTAGGCCCAAGTATTTTTCTCACTGTTATTAATATTGAGCCAAGTTTTACCTATTCTGTACCTGTACATTTGGTTTTCCTTGCCAAGGTGTAAAACTTTACTTTTCTCTCTGTTGAATTTCATTTCATTAGATACGGCCTAGTATTCAATCTGTTGAGATCCTTCTGAATTTTTGAGCCTTATCTTCTGGAGTGTTGCGCAATTCCTGTCAGCTTGGTGTTGTCTGCAAATTTGATGAGTTTCCCTTCTATTTCCTAATTTAAATAAAGATATTGAAGAGTACTGGGCCTAAAACAGAACTTTGGGTACCCTACTGCTTACTTCCCTCCATGTAGATATATTTCCATTAAGGACTATATGTTAAATATGGTTTGTCAGCCAATTATGAATCCATTGGGTGGTGCTGCTTTCTATCCCACATTTTTTTAACTTACCAAGAAGTAGATTGTGGTCTTCTTTGTCAAATGCCTTACTGAAATCCGAGTATAGTATGTCCACAGTATTTTGCTAGTCAATCTGTTTTTGACAAACCCACGTTGGCTTCTTGTTATAACTTTGCTTGCTTTTAAGTATTTGCAGATCTGTTGCTTGATTAACTTTTCCAGGATCTGCCCAGACATTGATATTGGGCTGATTGGTCTGTAATTTTCTGGATCTGTTTTTTTCTCCTTTTTTGAAGATGGGAATCACATCATCTCTTTTCCAGTCGTCTAGTAGTTCCCTAGTGCTACAGGATCTTTGAAAGATATAATTCAATAGTTGTGAGATCAGGTCTGCCGTTCCTTCAAAATTCTGGGATCTAATCCATCTGGTCCTACTGATTTGAACTATCTAGAGTGGACTGGTGTTCTCTTACCATTTTCTTGCCTATTTTAATTTGTATTCCTAATCTTTTATGATTCTGTTTTTTGTAGGCTGGGCTATTTTTTATTTTTGCATGAAGACAGATGCAAAGAATGAATTAAAGAGCTCTGCTTTCTCCCTGTTGCACGTCACTTCTTTGCCACCTTCTCCCATTAATGGAACAATTGTTTCCTTGATGTTTTTCTTGTTTTTTACATGTTGAAAGAAACCTTTAAAATTATTTTTGACATTTGCTGCAAGTCTTAATTCAATCTCACTCTTAGCTTTCCTGACTTCATCCTTGCAGATTTGTGCTATATGCTGGTATTCTGTTTTAGTTATGTGTCCTCTTTCCATTTTTTATACTTATCCTTTTTACCTTACAGTTTATTAGAGGATTCTTTATGCAACTATGGTTTCTTCTTGGATTTCTTATTTTTCTTTTTCAGTGGTATTGTGATGGATGTGGCTTTTATAATCATACTTTTCAAAGTTTCTCAAGCTTCTTGGGTTGTTTTCCCCTTTAAGATTTTCACTCATTTTCATCCTACTTGGGTTTGCTGAAATCAGCTCTTTTAAAATTTGATTATATCACTTTATAATGTCTTGGTAAGGCCACACTTGGAATACTGCAATCAGTTTTGGTCGCCACGATGTAAAAAAGATGTGGAGACTCTGGAAAGAGTGCAGAGAACAGCAACAAAGATGATTAGGGGACTGGAGGCTAAAACATATGAACAACAGTTGCAGGAACTGGGTATGTCTAGTTTCATGAAAAGAAGGACTGGGGAGACATGATAGTGGTGTTCCAATATCTGAGGGGCTGCCACAAAGAAGAGGAAGTCAAGCTATTCTCCAAAGCACCTGAGGGCAGGACAAGAAGCAATGGGTGGAAACTAATCAAGGAGAGAAGCAACTTACAATTAAGGAGAAATTTTCTGACAGTTAGAACAATTAATCAGTGGAACAACTTGCCTCCAGAAGTTTTGAATGCTCCAACACTGGATGTTTTTAAGAAGAGGCCATTTGTCTGACCATTTGTCTGAAGTGGTTTAGGGTTTCCTGCCTAAGCAGGGGGTTGGACTAGAAGACCTCCAAAGTCCCTTCCAACTCTGTTATTCTATGATTCTATGATAAACTGTAAACAGTTGTCTAGATAAGAGAAAATTTATCCTTATCTCTATCCAGAATTATTTCCATATCTAAATATCCAGATTAAGAAAATTTAGCATCTTTATTTCATGGATTTATGAAATTGTAATGCCATTTAGCCTCTTAAGAGATATGGAGTTAAAATTTAAAAAAGAATTAAAGGAAAGGATATGAATATAAGGACAATGCAAATAACAGAAAAATCAAAAGAGAAAACTAAAGCAGAAATACAAAGAAGAATTTTGTTATAAAGTGATAAGTCACTTCCTATTTCTTTTAAAATGGATTGCTAAAAAACAAAGAATAGAAAGCAGAGTTAATGGTCTGTTTCATACATGAAATATAAATAATAAAGAAGCCCATCTGGCTAAGCATACCTTTGTTGAGAAGAAAAACAGAGTGCCTTTCCGGTAGCTTGCATCATCTTGCCTGCTCTTGTTTTATCCTGAGAACCCTGAGATCGGAGAAATTTTCCCAATTCATTTTCTTCCTGAGATAGAACTAAAGAAGATGAAAAACTAAAGTGATTAGATATAATGTGATTTATTTCCAACTTTTTTTAGAAAAAAAAGTTGCAAGAAATGCTCTTCACATACAATACCTCTACAATTCCTAATTAACTTTCATGTGTTTTCTGTACTTATGAAAAAGTCAGATTTATCAACCTTACTCCCATTTCCCCACTCTTGGCGTAAAAATTATATTGATATTGTTCTTATAAGAATAAGAATAGCTAAATGACTTTTATCTAGAAGATGTAACAGCAGAACTATTTGTTTTAGGTGGAACAAACATATAAACCAGATAAAGTAGATGACTATGGCCTGGCCACAATGCTTAGAATTTCCTTTGATTGTTTCAGTATCCTTTTCAGCTTCTTGAGCCATGGTGAAGTGACAGTTCCTTATTTATACTGTGATATATTGAGTATGCTTATTTTTAAAACCTGGGTTCATGGTTTCAGTGCCAATTTAAAATCTTGGTAAATATTGAAGATTCAGTACTTTCTTCAGTTATTATTAATGACTGCATGTATATGTGGGAGCATAATTAACTAAAGACAATATGGAACATTTTTACTGGACGTACATAGAATTTACACTAAACTGAAAAGCGAGTTATACCTGAGGATACTTACAACAAATCCTTTTTTGATAATGTTCAATTGCTTTAAGTAAATCCATACAAGTTCTTTGAATTGAATGGAACAGCTAAAAATAAATATAAAATGCAAACTAAGTAAAATATTCTTTGAAAGAGCAGAGACAAACAAGAAATTTTCCTTAATGCCGCATTTAAACAAGCACTTTTCAAACATCGTTGGCTTTCCTTGTATTATGACTATGAAATAGTATTTTGCACTAATGGAATAAAAACAAATAGATCTTAGATAAACATTATAGCATGTAAGATAGTATAATCAAACCATGTGCATTTAGGCTCATTTTATTTACTAGGACAATGAAAAAAGTTGTTTTAACTATATCCTCTTTTGAAAGCATTTATTTCCTGCAGCAGAGATTAAAATTTTAAATCAACAAACATCCATTAAGTTATATTTTAATTCACAGGATAGCAAAATTTCAAGGACAGGTAAATAAAGCCATATTTTAACACAAACTACACCAAAGGGCTTTTATATTACTTATATCTAAAATCTTGGGTCTTAAATTTTCTCAAAATTTAAGTAAGCAAAATTTTAGTAACACATAATGAAAACTTATTTAGCCAAAAAAAGAAAAAAAAAGAAAAAAAGAAAAAGAAGGCTATTGTTGTCTTTAACTCAGAGATAAGCAATTCTTGTTGCACTGAGTTAAAGGCACAAGAAAACTGGGAGTGGGGTGGGGTAAGAACAATGAAATTTATATAATAAAGCTTCTAAAAATGTGAGGGTTCTTAGGGAAGCATTTCACATAAAAAAAATCAAATTTGCTATCAAGTATATGATAAAAGAAAGAGTACCTGGTTTGGCAGTCTTGCATTCATTATTTCAAGAAGGCTTTTAATAACTTTCCCCCAGTTGTCACAATAACCTTTACTGATTACATCTGCTAGAGCAGGTGCTATGATCCTGCTTTTGAAACCATAAAAGCAGCAAATATTGTATGCTTCAGATGCGGCTCATAGAGCCAACATGAGAGGAATATTGCTGCAGATGGATGGACTTAAAAGGCCCCAGCTGAATTTAACAGATATTTCACTTTAAGCACCCCTTTTTTCTTCATGTGTTCATTAAATCAAAGTTTTACTTAATTATGTATTTTCAATAACTAAATGATCAATGATTAATATGTAGAATCTGCCTTTATATATGGGGACAGAAATTTCTTGAGAGATTTATAAAACACCTTGTTTTCATAGAATCATATAGTTGGCAGAAATAATTAAGTCCAAACCTCTATTCAGTGAAAAAAATCCTAATTAAACCTTCTCTTGGATGTCTCTTTAGCCTTTTGTTTACATCTGCCATATGGAAACTGACCTCTGTCTATGCAATTGGTTTTACTACTGAACTATTCTTACTGTTAGGATTTTTTTCAACTTAATATTTCAACTTTAAACTAGAATGGATGAATTCAAACATCCATTATATTTTCCAGTTAGTTAAACTCACAGAAAAAGCAAACTAGATATTTTTTTCCATCTTGCTTGAAAATTGAGAATAAAAGACTTCTGGTTAGACTTCTGGTGATATCGAGCTATGGTCTGCGAGTGCGAGCCGGTGCCAAACTCTCCCTGTCGGAGAGTCCGAATTGGGACCATAACAGGGGTGAAATCTAGCAGGTTCTGACAGGTTCTGGAGAACCAGTAGTGGACATTTTGAGCAGTTCAGAGAACCGGTAGCAGAAATTTTGAGTAGTTCGGAGAACCGGCAAATACCTCTGGCTGGCCCAGTAGGGTGGGAATGGACATTTTGCAATATCCTTCCCCCAGGAGTGGTGAGGGAAGAGGGATTTTTCAGTATCCTTCCCCTGGAATGGAGTGGGAATAGAGATTTTGCAGTATCCTTCCCCTGGAGTGGGGTGGGAATGGAGATTTTGAAGTATCTTTCCCCTGCCACGCCCACCAAGCCACACCATGCCCACCAAGCCACGCCCACAGAACCGGTAGTAAAAAAAATTGGATTTCACCACGGGACCACAGCCACTCCAGACGGGTGGCAAAGAAAAGGGAGACCGTCTAGCAGGTAGAGGGTAGCCGTATCTCCCCTCCCTGACCTGGAAAGCCCTGACCTAGAAAGCTTAGCTGAGGGAAGGAGCATGAAGCCGAAGACGACCTGAATACCCACAAATGAGCAGGAGAAGAGAAAGTGAGTGGCGTGTGAACTGGGCAAAAGAATAATTTCCTTTGAAAATATCCCCTAGAAATACAAGGGGGAAGCATACTGGGACTATTTGCTAGTGGTGGAATAAGCACATTTATAGGAAAAAAAATCCCATAATATTTAAGAAGAGATACTTTTTAAAGAAAACTGAATTAAAAAATTGAACTCTCAAAATGAAGACGTGACATTGAAAAGGTATTTTAAAAAAATACTGGAATTTGATCTGGAATTTGTTTTTATTTTATTACTATCAAATTTTATTACTTTTTGCTCGCCCACCTATTGGATTTACAATCTAAAATAATTAAAACTTGATTATCACCATTAAGCAGAGAGATAAGACCAAGCTGAATCATGAGTGCCATCTGCTGTTAAGAGGAGAACTGTGCACCTATGGAAATAGTTATCTTTGTTTGGATTATAAGGGATCTACTTCAAACTTACTTTAAACTTCAAAATTACAAAACTGTTGAACAAATAAAAGTGATTCGAAGGGACATGGTATAGTATAGTTTATTGAATAGCCCGAAGGGACATGAATAACCCCCTGGATGTTTTTTAAAAATTGGACTGACTGTAAAATGGAAATAAGTGGAGATAACAATATGGAGTTGACATACCAATATATTAAGGATTTTATAAAAGTACAACGTAAGGAGATTATGGAAATATCTGGCTGTATGGATCGTATAGAGCAAAAACTGGAAAATATAATACAAGGAATAACAAGTAAAGACCAGGACAATGAAAAAAGAATGGAAATACCTGAAAGAGAGGAGGAGACTGCAGAAAAAGAAGAAGATAATAACAAGAAGATATTAGTAAAATTGATGGTGAAAAAGGGATTAGAGAAGAAAGAAAATATTTTAGAAGATCTGAAAAGGAAATGGGAGAAATGGGAAGCTAGTGGGGGAGAAGAAAAAGGGGTTAGAATAAGTAGTCATAGAATAAAACAACGGGGAAAAAATGACGGGAGAGAAAGCTAGAGGTCATAGTCAAAATACAGATCTAAAAGTAGATGGAATAAATGATCTAAAAGAAGTGTACGGGTGGTAACAAAAAAAAAGATTAAAAATTTGGATGAGAGCGAAAGATGCGTGATAAAGGAAAATGAAAACAACAAAGGAGTGTGAAGTGAACATTTTATGAAAGTACTTTAATAAAGTGTATGAATATAATTTGGATAATTGTTTTTATGTGGTGTAAAAGATAAAAATTATTTTTGAATACATGTTAGGAATGTAGTAATGTAATGAATATAAAAAATGAAGGATTGGAGATAATATTATATACATTAAAAACGTAATTATTAGCAAAAGTTAGAGAAAGATTATGATTGATATATTGGAATATTGAATAATGGAAAAAGGAAAGATCACGTCTTTGATTATTAGAATGATAGGGGAAAGGGGGAAAAAGAGGGCTAAATAGAAGTAGAAATATGAGGGGGAAAATAATAAAAACAGATATGAAGATGATATGAAGTATGGTAGAATAATGAGAACATTTAGAGTTGAAAGTTGACTGTAGAAACTATATGTTAATAAAATTAAAAATGAAAATGGACTATAATTAAGAATATTAGGATTATTTATATTGAAATGTATGAAACCCAGTAAGCAAACTATTCATGAAATGAGATGTATAAAAATAGAAAAATTATTAAAAAAAGAAAAAGAAAGAAAATTGAGAATAAAGATCAACATCAATTGTGTATAAGATCTGCACTGTGCAAAGAACAAGTATTTTGTGCTTTTATTCAAACTATCAAAATCAAATCAAATTAATTTTTATGATGGTTATAGACCACATATTATTCAAATAATATCCTTGACTTTTATACTATTCATTGTGACCATAAAAAATTATCATGGTGTTGAATGAAGGAACTTATGGATCCTACTTGAAATTCTGACTGTTATAGCACCTCCCAGAGTCACATGATCAAAATTTGGGCCTGCCTTCACTACCACTACAATTCTGTCCCCCCATTGTGGGAAGGGAAACAATGGCTGGCTAAGTCTACTGGCATGTGGACATCTGCCACAGTCCAGAAATCCACAGCCAGCTAGGTTCAGAGAAATCTAGGCCTTCTCAACTCCTCCCCCCATTCAAAGAGGCCTGAGCCTTCTCCCTGTCTCACCACATCCGAAAATCTCAGCTCTGGGCTAGGCCCAGAGATATGTGGGCCTCTTTTCCCCATCACTCCTGAGAGGCCTGGCCTTTTTCCTGCCCCACCAGGCCTGGATTCACTTATCTTTCCCTTTTGGTTTGGCTACTAATAGGTGCACCCAGCCAATGCAAGGCTCAGAAAGGCAATCTTCCTCAAGGCTAGAGAGGCAGGTTTCTGCTTGCTGAGCCTCCTAAGGCCTCCTCTTCCCTGTTACATTCTGGGTTAAATTGTGGTCATAAGAACTACTTGTATTTCTGTGATCTATGTTCAGTAGTACTGAACTCAGTCAATATACAAATAAATGTATCTGTTTCTAGTTATTTAATTTATATGGTTACCCATTTCCTAAAAGTGACTCTACATGGCATATGAGAGTTAAAACAACAAGTAAACCAGATCTATCATTTTTAAAAAACAATTATGACTAGCTTCATGCAATATTTTAAAAGCAAACAAACCACATTATGGTTTAGCCATATGTGTAAATATACTTAGGGATACATGCTATCTTGGGAACAATCTAAGGAAACATTTGCGGAGGATTTCATGTATTCATAATCATGTTTATACTTTTATCTGTTATCTTATATATGCTTGAAATAATAATAATAATAATAATAATAATAATAATAATAATAATAATGATGATGATTGTTAGGATTGTTTAGAACATGTGCTAGATGAAATCTTCTTTGGCATATGGTACTGCTAAATCAATAACTAGCTATTTCTCAAAAACTCTTCAGCAAAACAACAAACATCCTCTGTTCCACCCCTCCCACTACCTAACCCATTAAATTACTAAGCCAGTCTTACTCTGTTGACTAATTTGAGTGATGAACTCATTTCACATATTGCTCTGCTGCTAGGGATCCTTTTAAATGGAGATTATGGGAACTTAATTTAGTACTGCACTTTTAAAAGGTAAATTACGAGGTTTACCACTGAATTAGAGTTCTACCTGGAAAATCGCACAACATTCAGTAACTTCAGTAATTGCACAACATTACTGAAGTTTCTTGGGGTACTCGGATATATTTGCAAAGTCCTATAGAATTACTTTAAAGGATCCTTAAAGTTACTTTAGTCCTGATTATATCTTTCTTCCCATTGTTGGGATTCTTGTGCTGAGATCAAAGTGACGAAAAACTATTTTGTAGCATGACAATGCAATCTTATTTCCTAAACTCAGATGCTTTGATTTTGAATTGGCAAGTTAACAGGAATGACTTTAGAACAAAGGACTCATAATATGCCTTTATATCAATATTTAGGCTTACTTGTGTATAGTTCAGTTACTGCAGATAAACTTTGACTTCATTCACATAAGCATCACAAATCAATTATTACAGAACAGTGATCATCAGAAAATGGTTCTTTTGGCAGAAAATTTTTACTGAATGACATGCCTTCTGTTACTGAAATACTGCTATGTTTATAATTTACCGGTATTTGGAGGCCATTCCATACAGCAAATATGACAGCAAAGTTTTTAATAGGTATTTATTTCTAAGGTCATGTGCTAAATGCAAAGTTACTTCACTGATATCACACTAAAGCTACTTTAGTAATGAAAGTAATATATATGATTGATAAATTTTTAAAATGTCATTCTCAAACTGGAACTAACTCAAATTACCATTTTTTTAAAAAAAAAAAGCCAATTCATTGTATTTTATGTTTCAAAAGTCTCAATAACTGAATAACCTCAATAACTGCTACATGCCAGATATATCTGTGCTATGCTGTATCTGAATATACTTTAAAACAGTAATTTTCACATGCTTTTGAAAGAAAAAGCACATTGGCACATCTTCGGGAGGAGAAGAAAGTTAAAATAAAGGCCCCCATGTGAGTAATCTGCTCATGAATAACTGTTGATGTTTCCTTTCCATCAGTAAATGCAGGTATAAGAGAAGACGGTGAGAAAAGGAAACTGAATTGGAAAACTAGAACTGAAAGGTCCTTGGAACATTTAGGTCTTACATACTTCCAGTTTAGCATCCAGATCTGCATCTGAGGCCACTACATGCTCATCCTCTTTTTTTCCAGTGACTTTGATAAGAGTTTGTTTTGTTTTCCAGTATTTCTGCTGCATTTTATTTACTACAGATTTATCTTGGCCTTGAGCATATCGATCATAAAATTCCCTTGAATAACTGCTGGAAAGCAAATAATATAGTTAAGAAAGACATGAAAATTATACAATGTAACAAATTATTTATATTTGACATCTACATCCATATTACCATTTCTTGGACTTAGGTTCATACTATTTTTTCACTGGTTTGTGAAACACTTCATATTATTACTCTTCCAATGTTTGGCCTGCCAAACATTGATTCTACTTGAAATATTAATTAGATTTTAGTAAAGCCGCAAAATTACAAGTTGTCCTCCACTTATGACAACAATTGCACCCAGAGTCTTAGTCATAGAGTGGTTAAGTCAGATGCTATATGGCCACTTTGTACAATGATCACTTATGGTAGCTAAGGGTTGTTAAATGGAGCAGCAGGGCATGGGCCTCCTGGCTACAGTGAGAAATCCTGGCCCTCTCCCATCACACCTGGGAGAATGATTACAAGGACAATGCGAAGTGGGACAATGTTTTACAATGGCCAAAAATGCTTTACAGATCATAAAGCACCTGTTCTGAGGCCATCTCTACAAATGATTAAGTGACTAGTTATAAATTGAGGAGTATTTGTACATATATGCATACACATAAGCACACAAACATACTTACTATTTATGGCTGTCCATGTTTTTAAAATATTTTTCAAATGCTATGAATTAAAAAAAATAAACGATTATTCTCATTGTGTATTTCCAGCCTTATAAACAATAGAGCTAAAACTTAAACAAAATGAAAAACAATGTGAAAAAAAAAACATTTAACTTTCATTCAGTTAAATATAACACAGCAGAGAAAAGTGTAACATTTATGCATTTAAAATTATTCCAGTAAATTTCAGTAATTTATTGTAAAAACAACAACAACCCTATACAGCCAAAGACTAAAGCCAACAATTAAAAGCCAAATATAACAGAATAGAATAACCGAGGTGGAAGGGACCTTGGAGGTCTTCTAGTCTAACCCACTGCTCAGGCAAGAGACACTACACCATTTCAAACAAATTGCTGTCTAATCTTTTCTTAAAAAATTCCAGTGTTGGAGCACCCACAACTCCTGGAGGCACGCTGTTCCATTAATTGTTCTAACTGCCAAGAAATTTCTCCTCAGAAATATCCACTCTCCCTCCAGATCACAGGTGGCCAATACTACTACCTACAGATATAAGATTTAAGACATTTTTAAAAGCCAGTACCCAAATAGGTCACAGCATCTGATTCACCTTAAGTGACATCAAAAAGCTAAACAATGTTAGATTTACTTAATACTTTGATGGAAAAATACCAGAAAATACCAGAGCTGTGGGACTAGATTGGGAAGATAAAGAATATTTCCTAAGTAGTAATGGCAAATTACTTCTGTATTGTTTATGCATACAACTTTATGCAGATAATTATTGTTTAGCAATACATTCCACCAAAATGGTCTCTAAGTGGACATGAGAGAGGGGGGGGGGAGGGAGGGGAGGGACAGGGCGAGGGTGAAGGAGAGGGAGAGAGACTGCAAAAACTGCTTAGCTATAGAACTGAACATTTAGGCAAGAAAAACCAAATGCACAGATATTTGATATCAGGCTCAACAGCTTAACTGTGGGAGAGATCTTGGAGTCGCAGTGGACAATCAAATATAAGGCAGCAGTGTGCTGCATCTGCCAAATAAGGCAACAGTCCTAGGCTGCATTAATAGAGGGATAGAATCAAGATCATGTGAAGTGTTAATACCATTTCATAATGCCTTGGTAAGACTACACTTGAATTATTGCATCCAGTTTTGGTCGCCACAATATGAAAAAGATCTTGAGACTCTAGAAAGATTACAGACAAGAGGAAAAAGATGATTTGGGGACTGAAGGCTAAAACATATGAAGAATGGTTGCAGGAATTGGCTATGTCTAATTTAATGAAAAGAAGGACAAGGGATGACATGATATCAGTGTGCTAATATTTTCTTTGCCACAAAAAAAGAGTTTATAAACCTATTATCAAAGCATCTGAAGGCAGGACAAGAAACAATAGATACAAACGAAATCAATGAAACACCCAGCCTAGCAATAAGGAGAAATACCCTGACAGAATAATTAATCAATGGAACAACTTGCCTGCAGATAAATCAGACAAGAAAAGAATGGTCAATAATATAAGATTTCTGCTTGAGCAAGGGGGTTGGACTATAAGACCTCTAAAATCTTCTTCCAACTCTGTTATTCTGTAGAAGCACCTCCATCTGCGTAACAGTTCCTACCAGGAGACTAACTCCATTCAGAAAAGAGAGATCTCCACACTGCTCTGGTGTACATACATAAAAGCAATTTGAATACTGTTATAGAAGTAGTCCTTAACATACAACAGTTCATTTAGTGACTGTTCAAAGTTACAATGGCATTGAAAAAAGTGACATGACCATTTTTCAGACTTACAACCATTGCAGCATCCCCATAGTCACATGATCCAAATTTGGATGCTTGGCAACTGGTTCATATTTATGATGGTTGCAGGGTCCTGGGCTCATATGATCACCTTTAGTGACCATCTAACAAAGTCAATGGGGAAACCAGATTCACTTAACAACTGTATAACTAACCTAAGAATTGCAGTGATTCACTTAACAACCTCAAGAAAGGTCATAAGGCAAAATGTACTGAACAAATGTCTTACTTAGCAACATAAAATTTGTGGTTTTAAGTTGAGGACACCCTATATCCGTGATGGCGAACCTGTGGCACGCGTAGCCATATCAGTGGGCACGCCAGCTCAGCTCTCACAGGCATGTGCGCGCTGGCCAGCTGATTTTCAGGCCTCGTGGGCCCACCAGAAGTAGGGAAACAGGCTATTTCCTGCCTCTGGAGAGCCTGGGTGGGGGTGGGGGTGGGGAAGGCCTGCTTTTCTTTCTTACCTGGCTCCAGATCCTCTCTGTGTATCTGTGGAGGGTGAAAACAGCCTTTCCCACTCCCTTGGAGGCCCTCCGGAGGCCTGAAAGGGCCCATTTCCCAACTCCCGATGGGACAGGAAGTGACATTTTTTTCTGTCCCCAGCCTCCAGAGACTCCTAGAGAGGTTGGGGACAGCAAAAAAGTCACTTCTTGTCCCACCGGGAGTTGGGAAATGGGCCCTTCCAGGCCTTCGAGGGAGTGGGAAAGGCTGTTTTCGCACTCCACAGATACACAGAAAGGATCTGGAGCCTACCGACTCCAGAACGAAAGAAAGAAAAATGGGCCTACCGGGCCATCACATGGCAGAAGCAGAGGGGGGAGGGGGGTTGTGCATGCATGCGCAGGGCAGGGCGCATAGAATTATGGGTGTGGGCACGCACACGCACAAACCTCCCCGCTCCCTTTCCTGGCACGCGATGGCAAAAAGGTTAGCCATCACTGCCCTGTATACAAATATATCCTCTTTCCCCATGACCTTTCTTTTTTAACATTACATTACTAATAGTATTGCTTCTTATTTGGAGATGTTGTCTTTCTATTTGTCAGATGTTTGTCCATAGTTTAATATTAGTTTTTTTTAATAAACGTAGTGAATGTTTTTATCTAGACATATGGAGAACCAGTTTGGTATAGTTGTTAAGGCTCCTGGTTAGAAACAGGGAGACCATGAGTCTAGTCCTGCCTTTGGCACACACTTAATAGGTGACCTTGGGCCAGTCGCTCTCTCTTAGCCAGTCATAAGTCTTTCATTTATGGCTATGACAGAAAATTATAGAAAAAAGGTGAAGTATCACTATGATGGCATTCAAGCCCATGATAGGTAAATAGTACTCCAAGGAAATGATGTCGTAAGGCCTTTAAGAGTGGGAAGGGGAAGTAACAGTCCAGCTAGCTTGTTGGTAAAAAGGCAGGCATAGTGTGTGGCAGGAAAAAATGTGGGTCTTGACATCTGCTCTAGTTCAAGGTCACCAAAAGTCATGGAGATATTGACGTCTTAATGTGACAGATCTCTAAAACCCTTTCCCTAAAGGAAAGGGAAATTACAGCCATTCTTTGTCATTTTTCCCCTTTCCCCCACCCACATCCTCAAAAATGGAGAGAGAGAAGAAATAAGCATCCATATGTTAATTTGAACCCACCCATATTGCCTTTATGATTGTTAAGATAGATGTGATCAGTTAAACAAGCAATTATCCATTCAGTTTTCACAGAATGGACAAGGTTTTGGAGGGAAAAATATTCTGGATGAAATATTTTGACTTTGTGATAAAGATAAACTTAATTGAAAGTTAGGAATTTAGGAGATATGACCATTAATATAAGAAAATAATTATATACTTGACCTAACATTGCATGACTTTACAAATTTTAAATATTCCAAATTGTTACAATTAATTTGGACCTCGATAGGGTGTTCTGTATCTTTGAAGAGTTAGTACCAACTTGAATGTTTCTTTAATGATCAAAATGTCTTACTAAAAACATTTTTTGTTCCTTTTAGAAGGAACTCTAAGAAAATGAATTAACAGGAACACAAACTATTGTTAAATTATTGATTATAAAAGAATAGCATCCATAATCAGAATCAAAATTGCGATCTTCAACCACAAGAAAATGTGAGTGGGGTCTGAATAAAGAAGAATACGCTAAAATAATAGATCACAAAACAAAGGCTACTTTGGTCTTAGAATCCTACATAAATAGAACCCCTTCAATAACATGACTGAGCAATGCAGTTAGAATAGCAAAACTAAGAAAAATTCAAATTGAATAAAGACCAGGAAACCCTGTATATCTCTTATAATGTGGGGCAAACTGTATCACAAAACAGAATTTTTAAGGTCATGATGAATCCGTCTAAATCTTTTCAGAGAAAATATAATAAATAGTCCAATCCGGCAGATCAAAGATGCATTTTTCCAGTTCAGTTTAAAATTTGTAGCCATGCAGGTGTTGTAGGATTGCTCATACTTATTCCACACAAAGTAAACTTTCAGTAATTAAGCAAATTGCTAAAATAATAAGAATGTCCAAAAAGTCATGATAAATTACCCAAGGACTAAATGAAAATTAACAAAGCTGAATGGCATTGCTGTATAATCACACTTTTCATAATCGATAGTAAAGGGACCTAAATATTTGTGCTATTCCACACTTCTCTGAAATGCAACTTCTTAAAAATGCATGCATTATGAACCAGGTGCAAAAGTTCAGAAATGTACAGAATGATCTCTAATAACTTCAGATGTAAGTTGTCATGGACTAAACAAAGGGTCCATTTCTTTTTAACAACTACTATATAACAAAAAGGGGCTGAAGCATTTGCTGAGGAAGAAAAGAGTCAAGTGAAATCTTTTTGTAGATTTGTATTGATAAATCTTTTAAAAGCCAACTTTGCTTTAATAATGGTAGTAGCGTTTTGTGGAAATAATAGCGACAGTATCAAAAAGTTGATGCAGACTCTATGCTCTCCCCCTTTCTAAGCACATCAACATTTGCATTTTTGGCAGGCAAGGTAGGAGGGAATTACAGATGAAGGTGGTAAACTGAGATGATGTAAATCAAAGATTAGGTTCTCCTAATCTCAATGAATATGTGCATGCTGCGTCTAAAGCCAATTTCTTCCACACTCTACTAAAAATGTAATCTAGGAATTAAGCAAAGTTGAAGGGACTCCTGATTATTAATGGGGAGTACAAAATGATCAAGGCACATAGAAATGGGTTAGGAGCTTTAAAATAAATCACTAATAGTTCCAACTCAGGAACTGGAGGATCAACAGGCTGAGCAGGGAAGATGTATTTGAGTACAATGGAAGTTTCAGTGAAGTTATTGGTAAATGCCTATATTTATACTTTTTTAGATTTTCTGAATCTGTAACATAACAAGAATGACTCAGTGATAGTGTATTATATTACACATCTAGACAGCACCTAATTTCTGGGTATTCTAAACTCAGAGTCTTTATAGCTGGGACCATTTTATTTTCTGACACGCCAGAGCTAAAGCTTTTCAGGCAGTTCTTTCAAAGTTCCCACTTCCTCAACCTAGTTGCTGTTTAGAAAGGCAGGTGCTTGGCAGAGCATTCACATACAAAATAGCCATGTTCTCCATAATTTAAACACAGTTCTTGCATGTCAGCACAGCCTTAAAAGAGGAGTTCTGTTAATATAAACTATGTGGGTTCAACTTCCAAAATCTCTGAAATGGAGTGTGAGGTGAGGCAGGATCCCCCCCCTTTTCTGCCTATACGCACTGTAATTTAAGTCTTCCATCAATATAGATAGTCCTCAATTTACAACCACAACTGAGCCCAAAATTTGTTGCTGAGACATTTAAGTCAATTTTGCCCCATTTTATGACCTTTCTTGCCATAGTTGTTAAGTGAATCGCTGCCGTTGTTAAACTAGTGACATACTTCCCCACTGACTTTGCTTGTCAGAAGGTTGCAAAAGGTGATCACATGACCCCAGGATACTACAACCATCATAAATAGAAGGCAGTTCCCAAGTGTCTGAATTTTGATCACATGACCGTGGGGATGCTGCAATGGACAAAAGTGTGAAAATTGACTTTTTTCACTGTCATTGTAACTTTGAATGGTCACTAAACAAACTGTTATAAATCAAGGACTACCAGTACTTATGAAAAATTAAATTAAAGTGACAAGGTCTTTGGGATGCTCTGCTCCCCAGAATCTGTCCAGTATTTTATCTGACAGTCCCACTTTAACTATTATGGTGTTTTCATTCCAGTTTACATACTGAGCTATCAACTGTAAGTCAACAGCACACACCTATATAGAACACCTACCTTGGCAATAGATTTTATACTTGGCAGTTTCCTATTTGACAAACGTAACAAGAATAGTGTTCAAAAACTGATGCAGTTGTCCAAGTCTGGACAGCTCTGTATCAGGAAGGTTGCCTATGTTGCAGCTTTCTCAGTCATTAAATTACTTATACTTCTTACACAAGATCAGTTTAGGTGAATTGGACATCCCATTTCATTAGATTCTACAGTACTCTGAGGATAGCCAAAAATTACTGCTTTGACTTGAGTTTTCTTTAAGCACATCGATTTCTAGATGCCTCAACTGGCTGTACCTGAAATTGCCTTCAAGCCCTTGCTCAGCTTTGGGCCAATCACTGCTTCACAGGACCCTGGGAGAAAGATAGGACAAAGTGCTGTAATTAAGAAGTGGAATACTTTTGTTAAGGTCCTCCCCCTCCCTTCAAAACCAAACCACAGAAAATCACCAGGTATTTCCAGCCAGAGCCCACAGCTGCTCATCTTGATTTTTCAATTCAAAACAGTACACTCCCTAGAAGAGGATTCGATTATTATTATTATTTCTTAAAGTAGCCCATATATACAGTAAAAGGTGTGTGGACAGTAGCAGTTCAAGTTAACTACAGGAAATCAGGCAGCAAATGGCCTTCCTCATCCCCCTCCCCCTCTCCCACCAGTGATGATGCTGGTGGTGGTGGGGAGGACATGCACCTGCTGGGATAATATCTCTTGAAATGATAAGTCTGGGGAAATGAGCTGGCAAAAGGAAGAGATGCCATTTTGGAAGCACATTATTCCCCAGATGGGGAGAAACTGGTGCTCAGGTCTCATTTCATTCTCTCCAAATTACAAGCTCTTCATCCACGCCGTCCTCTCTCTTTCTCACCAGAACATTTCGCCTGTCTTCCTCCTCCTTCTTCCTCCTTCGGAGAGAAAGGAGTCAGATATCCCTCACCTCCCGATGGCTGCTGAGGCGGCTGGGATTATAATTTAGGTGGCTCCTGACCAGCATGCGCAGCCCCGCCCTGCGGCGGTGGCGACAACCGTAACCGTTGCCTCAGGAAGAACCTGTTTTTCCAGCCGCGGGGACCGAGGGTGAACCTGAGCAGGGCCTGGGCCAGAGTTACTCCCGCGCGGAGCACTTACCTCGTCCGCGGTTCTTTAGGGAAGAAGATAAGCCGTGGCGGTTGTGCGCGTCCCACTCCGATGCAGGTTGCTCCTCCTCACCGGGGAGCCCTCATGTCGCTCCTTGCTTTCCTCTGAGAGCTCACAGCCGGGACGCCAGCGACTTCCCTGCCATATAGTGCCGTCGCGTCGCTCGCTCGTTCGCTGGCCACCGCGGTGGCTCCAGGTGCTCCAGCGCGGCGAGCGTCACAAAGCCTCCGCCTGACAGGAGAACGGCCTTGAGCAGAGTGGGGCGGAGCTTCGGCCGCCGCCGCCACCACCAAAGGCCCTTCTACTATTTGCCTTCGGGAGGCGAGCGGACTCGAGGGACGCGCTCCGCCCTGGTTCAGGCGAGCGAGCGGGGCTTCCCTTCCTCCCGCCGCTCGGAGTTGCCTGGCGCGGCCGGGCTTCCTGCTTTTGTTCTTTTCGTGCCCTCCGAGCAGCGGGCGGAGAGGGTGACATTGACGCTTGGAACACCCCACCACCCCCGCCCCCGTTCTGCAGAACCTTAAAAGATTTTTTTAAATTTTCCAAAGCCTTCTAAATAAGAGGACGGTGTTTTTCTTCCTTCCTTTGCCGTCGACATCACGGCCGTAGCAATAAGCAGGTGAAGGGCTTTTTATGATTGCCAATGAATTTAGGTTCAGTATCTTTTCCCGTGCTATCCCCCCCCCCCCCCCCGGCCCAATTCGCCCGATAAAGCATAAGACTTCGGCCATAGAAAAGGGTTTCCTTTAAGATGCAGAATCGCGGCGTCAAAACGGGTTTTGCAATTCCGTTGTTTCTGGTTTGAGTTGTGGGGAGTGAGGAAGGAAGCGGATTCCAGAAGTGTTGAGTAAAAGCAAGTTACACAAAAGTTTGTCCTTTTATCTAACCAACACCGATTAGAGTAACGCGAACATACAAGTTTTTGAACCTTTCTTTTGAAAGGCTTAAAACATGATTGCGTGTAATCGGAAGTATATGAGTTGATCTGCTAGATTGAGTTTTCCACTTCTGACTCTCCTTTGTCAAGACCTTGCAGCTATAAAATATTGCCTTTTATTTTAATTTTATATCCTTTGCTATTGCTGTAAACATTTCCACGTTTTAGCACCTCCTGGGATGGCACAACCTTTTTGTTTTATTTACAATAGATTAACTTTCCTTACTTCATATACCATATGGTAATAACTAATCATTACCTGGATTTTCCAAATTTCCAGTACTTCAGTTTTTGGAGTCTTTCCTATCTTGTATTACATTAGTTCTGTATTCCTATTTCATTTTTCATAGTTTTGATAAGTAATATGTGTGCAACTAATAATAAAAATGTAGTTACTATGTTTTTGTTTGACCCTGAAATGAAATTCAATTACATGCATTTCTATTATAAAAATCTTAAATGTATACACTAAGGTTATTTCTCCTATCAGACTGGAATAACCTGTTAGCCCCTATTATTTACTGTAATATATACTTCCCTGTCCTGTACATGATTTTTTAAAAACAATATAACCATTTAAATTAGCCTCGTGAAATTAGAACTCTTGTTCTGGAGAAAAATTAAAAGATCCTTAAGGGTTGACACTGACATGATGATACATAATCAGATTCAGAACTCAATCAAGATAATTAGTTGAGTAATTCTGTATATTTTATATTCATATAAGCAATTTCCACATTTAATGTTTTTAATACCATTTTATCTTCTACATATAGGATGTGTCACTATCACTTTGAATTAGCATAACAAGGAATCACATTTGATTCCTTTATTCCTCAAAAATTCTTAAATACAATTACTTTATTCTATCTGAATAGTAATGTAAACCTTAAGTAGAAAGTAATATTTTTTAAAAATATTGTGCTGAGCAAATAACCTATTGTCTTAATGGTATTTTAAAATTACCAGTTAAAATAGAATATTTAAAACACAGTTACTGATCTAATGGGCTGATTCTGATATAACAAGATAATACGGTTTTTGTACATAATTCAGGATCATTCTTTTTCTCTATTTCTGTTTACTTCAAGACAAGCTAAAAGTGGCCTGAAAACTACTTTTCACCAAACTACTGAATCAATGGTATATGTCAGGGGTGGGTTCTACTTACCTTTATTATCGGTTCGCAACGGGGCCATGCATGCGCAGAAGCATCCTGATGACGTCGGGGTCGGTGGACGGAGCCTCCCGCCAGTTTTACTACCGGTTCTATAGAACCGGGGGCAACCCACCACTGGTATATATGAAAATATTTCACTATCATCAAGCATTAGCAGGAAAAGTGGGTATATTTTGTTCTGATAATTGAACTGTCACCTAAGGTTGCATGGCATTTGTTCTGAATTGTTTCTGCTGTGATAATAATATTTTGGTAGCAAGGAAACCCGAATACTACTTTTAGTCTTATTTTCTTTTTATATTTATAGATCATAAAGAAAGCAACAGATAGATTCCTATTTTATTTTAGCCATCCAATTGCAATTAGAGACCATTTGAAATTATAGTGGCATTGAAAAAAGTGTCTTGTGACAGTCCTTGCACTTAGACAGTTGTAGTATCCCTATGGCCTTGTGATAAAAATTCAGGCACTTGGCAACTGGCAATGGTTGAAGTGTCCTAGAGAGTCATAGGATTGCCATTTGCGATCTCAGCCAGCTTCTCACAAACAAAGTCAACAGGAAGCCTGATTTGCTTTATAGCTGTGTGATTCACTTAACAACTGAAGTGATTTGCTTAACAACTGTGGCAAAAAAAAAAGATCATAAAATTGGGCATAACTCAATCACTTTGCTTAGTTAATCATTTTGCTTAGCAATTGAAATTTTTATCCCAATTGTGGACATAAGTTCATGGCCACCTGTAATATACATTAGTAATCTGTATATTGCTTAAAACAGTTTGGTGAAATGAAGAACTTTTTAAATGAATTAATACAGTATATATTTAGTTTAAAAAACCTAATTACTGTGAATCTCTGGAAGAAATTACACAGCAAAATTCTAGGCATCTGTGCTCTGATTTTATCCTTACATTTGAGCCTTTCGCTCCTCCCCCCCCCCATCAGCACAGCAAAATGATCAATAAAGCTGTAACCTTGAAACAGGTGAGAGAGGACTTTGGCGCCACCAGCAAACAAGATACAGTAAGAGAACAAAAGATATTTTTCCTTGAGAAGTAGCAGATGGTCCAAAAGGCAGGAAAATAAAGTACAGTGGCACAGGAAGACAAAGGATAATGTATAAAAAATGCAAGAGCTCCACATGCTGGCCATTAACAGGAAAAAGAAGAGAGGGTGGGGACTTGAGACAGAACAGAGTTAAAAAAGAAATGTTGGTGCATAGTAGTAATAATGTAGTGATTTTTGTTTGTTTAATCTTGTGCAGTTCTTGGAGATACCTTGATTCTTGGAGACCGCCTGGACAATCCCTGCAATTTTCTTGGCAAGGTTTTTTGGAAGTGGCTTGCCATTGCCTCCTTCCTTGGACTGAGAGACAGTGACTAGCCCAAGGTTACACTATTGGTTTTGTACTCAAGGTAGGACTAGAGCTAATGGTCTTCCAGTTTCTAGACTGATGCCTAAATTACTGCACTAAACTGGCTCTCTGTAATAGTATGTAGTATAGAATATAGATAATTGTAATAGATAATAGTATATTGAATAGTAATACTACAGTATAGAACACAGTATAAACATTGTCATAATGTATTGTAATAGTAATTATATAGTAATAGTATTGAAATAGCAAGTAAATACAATTTTGGAGCACTCAGAAACTATGTTTTTACAAACTAAATATCTCTCCAACAAACATAATCTCCATTTTAAAGAGATATAAAGAAATCACCCGTACAGGGACCAGTGCTTTTGTCTCTTAAATCTCAGCTAATCTAGAATCCATGAGAGGGTCACAATGAGTATCTTTTGCTATATATTAATTACCTGAAACACAATGGAGCTTTCTTTAGAAGGTGCTGACAAAGTGTCAATAACATGGATTCTATCAATAAATTCAAACCAAGTTAAAAGTCACTGCTTCCATATGGTCTCTTCTGTAGAGATGTGTAGTACAGAGAAACATGAAATTAAAGTGTTGATTTAATTAAAATCCATATAGTTCTCATTTTACAAAAAGATGTATTCTTTTTGGACATATGGTAACTACAATAAGCACCTAGTCTCTTTGATTCTTAGTTGTTAACTGATTCATAATTTTATCAGAATCACTTACAATGAACTTAATTCAATATAAATAAGTTTTAGTTCATTCTTACTTAATCTTTATATGATTATATATTTATTTTAAGAACACTAGATTTTATCTTTAATGTACACCTGGCTGAATATGATCACCTCTATATTGAGTATTTTTTTCTCCATTTTACAGCCCAGATCAGGTGACCTAATGTTTTTATTTTTGTACATATTAATTCCTTTAGGCTTTAAAAAGTGATAATCAGCACCTTGAATTGCATTGAGAAGCCTACTAGGAGCCAGTGCAATTAGCAAACTAGAAGTGAGTATATTGAGGCATGCCCATAATTACCATGCCTCTGCATTCTGGTCCACTTGCAGCTTCCAGACTACATTCTGCTCTTCATGGAAAGCCCCATGTAGAACACATTGTGATAGTCTAACCGACATGACTGAGTGACCATGAGCAGTTCTTCCAGGTGCAGGTAAAGGTACATTTGATAGAATTGTACAAAAGTCCTCTTGGCCATGATTGTTACTGCTCTTCAAGCAGCAACTGTGAATTAAAGAGAACTCCCAGTTGCAAGAATAAGAAAGTGCACCACACCCTTAGGCAAAAGATGGAAGTGTTTCAGTTCTGGGATAAGGAGACCTAACAATCATTTAGATTTGTCAAGATTAAATCAAAACCTTTTATTTCAAAAAAATTATGCCAAATCACAATAGCCTTCAGACACTGGAACAGAATGTTTACAATGCTGCTTGGATATGATGATGGGAGAGACACAGTGGTGGGTTGCCCCCGGTTCGCACCGGTTCGCAAGAACTGGTAGTAAAACTGGTGGGAGGCTCCGCCCACTGCCCCGGATGTCGTCATAGGCGATCTGCGCATGCGCAGAAGCGAGTGCACGTGCACGATTCATTGCGAACCGGTAGTAAAGGTAAGTAAAACCCACCTCTGGAGAGACACAATTGAGAATAATTAGCATACTGATAATACTGCACCCGATGCCTCTCATGTGGGTACAACAAGTATAATTGTATAATATCTATTTAATTAAAGTTTGGGATAAACTTGTTGGAATAAACTTTGTGGTTTGAATTTATATCAAACTCTGGATGGCAATCAATCTGAGCATTTCTACACCAATGTGAGCCAATTATCCCTTGACTATATTAACTCAACCTGTTAAGTATTAGACTTCTAAAATTCATAAGTATTAATGATTGTGTTACAAATAGATGGTTTGGTTTGGTTTGGTTTAGTTTTGGTTTGGATGTAGGTTTCAGTATTTTAAAAGCCCGCTTTCTAGAGAGTTTGTTTATCTATGTGGTAGCAGTCTCTAAATAACCCACACTTACATTATTATCTTTGACATACTTAACTGTTTCATTTTTTGGAAACCAAATAACAAGAATATAAAGTCAATCCTCATTATTCTCAGATTGCAAATTTTCTTACTAAAATTCATATGTAATTCCCAAATCAATATGGTGGTGCTTTCATGGACATTTGTAGACATGCACAAAGTGGTGAATTTGAGAAGGGTGACATACACATTCTCATCTGAAAGTCAAACAAGATGATGCTCTACCTTCTTGTTTTAGTTTTCCTCCTGTGAACAAGCATTCTGTATTTCCCCGAGGAACAATGTTTCACTATTCGCTAATTCAGTGTTTGTAGCTATTTTAGACAAATAACTAGTGCAAAATCTGAGAGTCAATTGGATTTCAAATTACAAGTGACCCAATTTAAATAACTGTGCCCCAATAGCAGAGTTTATGTTTACAATTTTTGGTTAAGTGTAGAACTATTAACTTTATCTGTTTTTGTATGAGTTTCATAAAAATTGTTTATGTTCTAAATAGGAAAATCAAATGTGAAGCATTAGGAGTGTAAGTCAAAAGCACACTTCTCCATTTTTGAGTCTGGAATTGTTTAGTACTAAGAAATGATAGATATTAAAAATAACATAGACTTCTAAAAAATTTTTGTATATATTGTAAGTTTTATCCAATATTTTTTTTCATAATACACACATTTATTTTAACTAGTTAAAAGAATATGATTAATCAAAATGTTTAAGTAGGCTGGCAACCACAAAATCCATGTAGCCATGAATTATGACTAATTGTGCTATTTGGTAAAAATACCCTTTTACTTCTGTCTCTAGAGAGGAAGTTATTTGGTAGGTTGCTAAGTATCAATTTGGAAGTCTCTTATCTGCTGACAGCTGCACTTTCTATCTGTCAAGGAATAGTACTTGCTTAAAGAAGAAAAATGATGGTTTGTCTTCTAAAAAACTATCAATTGGTATAGAAAATAGTCTTTGTAAATCCATTTCTAAGTACAAGTATTGCTTGCTATCTTGTGCACCTTTGCTGAATTGGGAAAAGTGGCTGCAATTTTATCTGACTCTGGTAAAATTGTCATTTCTTCAAAATGTGTATCAATCTGCTACGTATTTCCAAGGGCAATTTCTCTCTTTTAAAGTGCAGAGATCACCTGGCACAAAATCTGAACTCTAATAGGGGTTGTATTGTGCATCATGTAGAATATTTATTACTTTCTCCTCTAATGATTTGGATTTTTCTCATTCTCTATTTATCTGGACTTAAAAAAGAGGACAGATGATCTATTTTGACTAGATTTTAGAAAGCTATATTTACTACTCTGTGTGGGACACATGGCATCATACAAAGTATTCCTGTATGCTATATTTAAATCAGGAACATTTAAAGAGATGGAAAGAGAATTATGTGTCACTTCTCTACACATTTCTGATAAATAATGCATAACAAGATTTAAACTAGTGGTATGTAAACTTCTTTGACCTCAGGGCAGCATTTTCCCCTTGAATCATATGTCAAGGCCACATTCTAAGAAGTGGTAGAGTGAGGATACAAATTAAATTTGATTTAATAACATTTAATTATAGGTTATCTCCCAGAGATTATAATATCTTTCAATCAGTGGCCAAGTGCTAGAATTAGAGTTCTTACGATGTTCTGAAAGGGGAAGTGAAGGAGTCCAAAGAGGAAGAAAATGAGAACATAGTTTTTTTTAAAAAAATTGATTTATATGCCGCCCTTCTCCGGAGACTCCGGGCGGCTTACAATGCGTTAAGCAATAGCCTTCATACTTTTGTATATTTATACAAAGTCAGCTTTTTGCCCCCATAATCTGGGTCCTCATTTTACCTACCTTAGAAAGGATGGAAGGCTGAGTCAACCTTGAGCCTGGTGAGATTTGAACTTGTAGTAATTGCAGGCAGAAGATGTAAATGGATGTTAATAACAGTGCTTTAGTCTGCTGAGCCACCAGTGCTCCTAGCTTTACTGTTGCTTTATGGGTCTCTGCCCACCAGAAAAGTTATTCTGTTCTGTGGTTGGAGGAACTTCAGTTATTTGCTTATTTCTCATGTTTATATGACATTTCACAAAAAGTGAGTGCGCAATGTGGGTTGCTTTAGATTCTATTTTTGAACTTGCAAAAAATCAAAATTCCCTTGCTATTACGGTATCACAATACCAATAATCAATCTGGAAGAATCTGTAAAAACATAGATAGTTTTTGTAATAAATATAGTTAGAAATGGCATAATTTTTGTAATTTAGCTAACAAACCACAGCTGTATTTGCATATGTGCTAAGCCATGTTTTAAATATGATTTGTTGAAGAAACCACAATAACTGGATTCATACCACATGAAAAATAAAAAGTAAAAAATTGCTTTATAAATATGGTGTGTGTTTTATATATAGAGAGGGGAAAAATTACATTATGCTCAATGCAAGAATTAAATCATATCTGTGTCAATGCATTCAACAAATCTGCTCTACTGGTTTCTACATTACAGGTTGGTTCTCCATTCATAGATTTCCAACAATCTGTGTTTCAGGGCTTGTTTATTAAGTCTGCTAGGAAATGGATGCCAACTAGCGGCTCATTCTAAACAACAGTCATTAAGGCATTTTTCCTTAATTATAGTTTTGTACAACTCTCTAAGTCTAAAAATAACTTGACTTGAGCTATGGTGTGAATGCAGCCTATATGCAACAAATAACATAGAATTAATTTTTATCTATTAGTTTCAAATACTACATGATCACAATTCCCTGTACAGCTTTATGGCTCTTCCTCTCTTTTTATTTTATGAAGAAGTCTGGATATAAGAGGATTTGGGATCACTAATCATTTTTAAAACTAAAAACTTGCACTGTTTTTCAACATTGAGATTGGCTGCTGGGAACACGAAACTCAAGAAAAATGCCTGATTTGAACTGAATGTTTATTATAACAATTTCTTCCAGACATAATGTACAGATAAAGCCCTTCATGGCATGGATCCAGGTTACATGAGGAACTCTCACCGAGGTAGGACTACACCAGCAGAGAGGGGATACTATGGATCCTGTTGATCAAGAAATTATGACTGTGGAATCCAGGAGAAGATCAATCTCTGACATGGCTCCTGCCCTTTGGAATATCTTACTATCTCAGGTGAGATTGGCTCCCACCCTCATGACTTTTTGTAAGAGCTTTAAAGCCTGGTTCTGCCAGTTGGCTTGGGGACCTAATGGGGGAGTCTGGCTAATTAAAAGCTAATCCTTCCTCCCCTTCCCCTCACCATATATCTGGTTTCCTTCTTTTTCATCTAGTGTTATTGATTTTATTTTATATTCTGAGACACATAAACTGAAATGTGGCTGTTTATTTTCAAAACGGCAGCAGCTGGCAATACCTGATTCTCTCTGTCTGAGTTGATAGGTTGCGATTGGTAATATTAATTTATTAATAATATTAATAGTACAACCAGGATATTGTAAACTAGTCTAGAAAGTTGAAAAACATTTCAGAGGAAGCAATTCAATCTGCTTCAAAATAATAGCAGGAGTCCAGGAAGTCACTGGGCCTGGTGGCTCAGCAGACTAATAGCATTGTGATTAACACCAGCTGTCTACAATTACTGCAAGTTCAAATCTCACCAGGCTCAAGGTTGACTCAGCCTTCCATCCTTTCAAAGGTAGGTGAAATGAGGACCCAGATTGTGGGGGCAATAAGCTGATTTTATATAAATATACAAAAGTATGAAGGCTATTGCTTAATGCATTATAAGCCACCCTGAGTCTCTGGAGAAGGGTGGCATATAAATCAAATTAAAAAAAAAAGTCAGAGTTGAGATTTCTTCAAAGGCAAATTTTCTTTTATTAAAGTGACTATGTTTATTTTCTATGTCCTAGAAATAATGCCAAAGAGGGACAACAAAAAACCACTAAGCATCAGTGAATAAGAAATGCTGGAGTGTATAATTGTTACATGAAGAAACAACTATAGTTTTAAAGAAAATTTGGGTCACAATAATGCAGTCTGCAATGTTTGTAAAATATTTTCATTTATATACGTTTTTTCAGTTTAATAATGACTTTTTGCATTTTGGTAATGATTGTTTTTATATCTTTGTTGTTTTATTGATTGCGGTATACTGCGCAGAGTTATTTTTTCAGTTATGGGCAACCATATAAATAACAAATAAAATAATTGGCTGAAAATTGAAAATTTGCAATAATTTACAACCCAAGTAATCTATCAAAAACACCATATATTATTATTTTGAATCCATAATCTCACACTGTAATTTCAATATGTAGAAAATATACAGCATCCATCAGCAAATGAAGAATGTTGCTAGATTTATAGGTTCATATTGTTGTATTTGTCCTCAGTATCTAAAAATGGTGGCATCCTCTGTTTAAAGAAGTTTAGAATTCTGTTTCATTGAGCGAAACTTCCTTTAGACCAGGGATTTCCAACCTTGGCAACTTTAAGAATTGTGGGAGTTGAAATTCACAATTCTTAAAATTGCCCAGGTTGGAGACCTCTGTTTTAGACTGATGAAGTGGCTGTTTTAGATAGCAGACACTGAAAGCAGGAGGAACTGCAAGATGTTAGAATTCAGAGCTCTGTAGAAATCATAAGAGAGGTGACTAAGATAAGAAATGTGACCCTACTGCCAATGCTAAAAAAAAATTCAAGTACAAGTATAACATACAGAACCTGCTGAATTTTTTTAATTGCAGAGGCATTGACAAATTGCTTAAACAAATAATAGAATAAAGATACAAAAAGCAAGATAATAAATATTGTTAGTATCTGTTTTATTTCTTCTATTGTTTTTTGATTGATCTCTTAACCATTTTTCTTAAAGCTGTATTCCAAATGTTTGCATTTACCTTTATCTTTATTTACTGAAAAACCTGTAGGGTTTTGGGATGCCGTAATCATTACAGGTAGTCCTCCACTTATGAACACAACTGAGCCCAAAATTTCTGTTGTTAAGTAAGACATTTGTTAAGTTAGTTTTGCCCCACTTTATGACCTTTCTTGCCACAGTTGTTAAGTGAATCACTACAATTGGTAAGTTAGTAACCCGGTTGTTAAGTGAATCTGGTTTCCCCATTGACTTTTTTTTTTTTTTAAATTTGATTTATATGCCGCCCTTCTCCGGAGACTCAGGGCGGCTTACAATGCGTTAAGCAATAGCCTTCATCCTTTTGTATATTTATACAAAGTCAGCTTATTGCCCCCACAAACTGGGTCCTCATTTAACCTACCTTAGAAAGGATGGAAGGCTGAGTCAACCTTGAGCCTGGTAACATTCGAACCTGCAGTAATTGCAGGCAGCTGTATTAATTACAGGGTGCATTAAACCACTGTACTACCAAGGCTCTTACTACCAAGGCTCTTCTTTGTGAGAAGGTCGCAAAGTGTTCACATGACCTTGGGATACAGCAACAGTCATAAATATGAACCACTTGCCAAGCATCTGAATTTTGATCACATGATCATGGGGATGCTGCAAAGGTCGTAACTGTGAAAAATGATCATAACTCACATTTTTCAGTGCTGTTGTAACTTTGGTCACTAAATGAACAGTTGTAAGTCGATGACTACTTGTACCATTGATCCAAATTTTAAATTCTTCTGAATTCATTTTATTTAAAATTTGTGTAAGAAAAGCCACTCCAAATTGTCAAAATATTTTTCTGCATCTAGGAATATTACTGCCACTTTTTTTTTTGTTATGGTTGATTCATTTTACTGCATTTATGATAAAACTGCTGTTTTAATTCATCTTCCTCTTGAGAATGTAATCACAGCAACAGTAGATCATCCAAATTCAGTTAAATTTATTATTAGTGACTAAAAATTATGCAATATTATTTCCCAGTTTCATGGATTTCTGTTTAATTCTTTATCTGAAGTTGCCAGGGACGTATCTATTGAAAATCCTTGCATTAAGAACATGATTTCAAGGTTGAATTATTTATTTTCACTGGAGTGTTTGTAACAAACTATATAAAAAGGAATATAGTCTATAAATACTATAACCTAGATTTCATTTGGAATAAAGTATAAAGTGCATCATATTTTCTTCTGCTTCCATCTGTTCTTGTATTAACAAAGACCCACTGCAGCTTGCATTTATGGATATTCTCTTACATCAATGAAAATAGGTACTGTTTATATCTTATGCAGCCCAATCCCATTAACTTCAATACAATGTATGTATTGGTCATTATTTTAGTTATAGTAACTTCATAGACATTTCCATATAAATAATTATACATTATCAGCTTGCAGGGTTGGCTGAATTTCATTATATAATGTGCATGTATACATGAACACAAATATATATATATATATTGATTGATTGATCAACAGTAGTAGAAGTTTAAACATGTCCTTTGCATTTGGTAGAATCTTAATCCTTGTAAATTTTAAATTAGTTTGTGCAGCATAAAATTCAACTCAGGAGGCTCTCTGTGTTTTAAGCAAATTAATCTCAAATCCTGTAAAATGCAATTTGTATGCAGCAACAGTGACATCTGGTGGCTCTTTGTACCCACTACAATTCTGCAGGATACATGAATACACATTAACCCATTATAGAAATTCTGTTGGCAGTTCTGTATGAGGACCGTATACCAGTTCAAAAGCAGTTTTTCATCTCTATGCTCCCATGGTGTGTCCACTGATTTTGACAGCCAAGCCAATTTATTTTGAGGTCAGTTGCAATGCAACCCAAATAAAAATTCCAGTTTTGCAATCATGTAGCTCTGGAAAGCTTACAGGCAGTTCATTTGCTCACTGAAGAGAAGCGCAATCCCACTCCTTTTGCTGGCTCCTTGGAGATGCTTAATCGGGTTCCTTAAAGGGATTAGCGTAAAAGCAGAAATAGGAGAACTCCGAGGACTTGATCTAATGGGCTTGGAGTTAAGTGACATGTGGAGGACCACAGATTCCCAACTCGATATTAAATGAGGCCTATTAAAGTATTTTCACTATTGATAGGTAGTATATAGAAAGACTTGATGGATATGTTAATTTCAGTTAATACAATAATGTCTTTGGTCCTGTATCAAAAAGCATCCCAAATCATTGAAATGAATATAATATTTTCTTTAGGAAAAGCTCTACATGATGCAATATAAAGAATTTCTATTTCAATAGTCAAGCTGAAACAGCTGCTTGCATAACTTTTGAAAAATAGTTGTACGAATTATCTTTGGGGGCACAACACTGAACTACATTAACACTTGTCTATTTCATAAGAATATATCAACTAAGGCTTTAAATTAATTAGTGTATCAAAAAAAAAAAAGGAAAGAAAGGAAAAACATGCAGATAAGCAGAAGACTAACTGCCCCCACAATATATAAACAGTATGTTGTTCTGTTTGTCAGCAAGGCAGATCTTGCAAGCAGAGTGAAAAGGGACAGAGTCTAGGAAGTGGCATGAAACTGTTAATTTCTGGTTTTCTAGTGAAGAAGGACATTATGCTACTGGCTGCCATAAATGTCATTACTTAAAAGATAACAAGTCACTGCAGCCTTCTTTAGCCTAATATTCTCCAAATGAGGGGGTCATTCTCATAATTTTGAACTAGCATGAGCAGAGGAATCACCACGCTCAAATGTGACATAAAATAGAGCCAAACTAAAATCACGTCACAGTGATATTTGAAATCTTTAGAATAAACTCTGTTTCAGAGTTTGTTTCCCGAGCTGCTGTTGAGCACGTAGGCAGGACCTCCACCAACTGTGTTGTTTTTTCAGTTTTGTTCTGCTACTCGTTCCATATTAGCAATGGAATATTAGCAATGGAAAATGTTTTTTTCAGTTTTGTTCACTAATCATAAGTGTGCATCATGAGTTAGTTTGTATCCTTACACTGAAGTCTTAATTTCCCAAGTACATTGTTATTTCATGCCGTAGATGGTATTGAAAGATGTGCATTGACTTTGCAATCCTTAATACTGCAAAGATTAATATATTGTGCAAATAATGGAAATGTCAAAGAAAGCGTATCTAGTGGTCATTGATATAAATAGAATATCAATAAAATATTCTTATACCAAAATGATGGACAGTGGGCTCATTATCAAAAGGGTGGAATTCTCTAGAGATATTAACCTTAATTTTTTTTTAAAAAGGATGCGTAATACCAGTAATTTTAATATAGCAAAGATATTAAAGGATACTTTCTATCAAATCCTCATTGGTGTCATGTCCATTATTGTTGAAAAGATGGAGCAAAAGCAGGTATAGGATTTGTCTGCTGTGTACCATGTTCCATGTAGTGGAAGTAAAATGACAATCTGAAAGATACGGCTCTCATTTTGCTAAAAAAAAAAAGTGGATATTTTGTTGAGTTCCACAGCCATGAATGCAATTGCCTATTTAACTTGTATTAGTTAATAGAATTTTGTCCTCCAATTCTCTGAAGAGTTTTTTCCCCTCAACATCTTTACTGACTTCTCACAGAAAAGGAGCAATTGCTTCAAAGATATTTGAAAGGAAAGCATATATTAAGCTACATATAGGACCCAAACGATCATTAGTTGACTGTGCTTTGTTTCTAGTGCAAAAATGTGGAATTAAGGGCCCACGGGAATACTGTAGGCCTGAGTTCATCAAAACTCATTCCGGTTAGAAGCTCCCTTGGCATTTGAGCTCAAGCAATTAGTATTATGAGCTTTGATTAAACTGGTTCATTGCTGCATTCATCATTAACCATTCAGGGTAAATAATTACAAACTTTTTCAATGGCCTATAACTCTCTTATTACATTTTATATTATTAGAAAAGTTCACAAGATAACTTAAAGCTGTCCCATTTGGGTTGCAAAAACTGGATAACCATGAGATGGCAGATACATTTGCTGCTATCTCATGGTTGTCTACATTTTTACAGGTCAGGGCCATAGATAAGCCCTCCCCTCCCCTTCCCTCTAAATGAAATATGTCTCCAGACAGGACACCAAAGGCAAATAGAAAACCAAGAGCTTTCTGAATTATATCTTTATCTCCAGAGTTACCTATGTTTCCTGAACAACTTTTCTTCCATGTAGTTGGCCACAAATATACATCTTCAAAGTGATTTGGCAAAACCTCTCCCTAGGAAAGTTTGTTTTAATTTCTTTTAAAATAAATGTCATTAGATAATAAACATAATCTAAGTGCAAAAGGCAATAGAAATTTTCCTTACAGAGGAAATAATCATGTGCAATCACAAAAATGACCAAAACATTAGATTTTGAAAATGTATGTATTATTTTACATCCATACAATAATTTTCTTTGTATTACTGTTGCATCTCTTCCTGGCTGGGTTTGGTTAGCTTTTTTGCAATTAAGTCAAAGATGAATATTCTTTGCTAGTATTTTACTGTTTCTATATTTGCTTCTGATAACATTTTGGTGGTTTATTTATTGATAGTTTTCAACTTATGACCATAATTAAACCCAAAATTCCATTCAAAGTTCTGTATATGTATATCAATGTCATCAAGATCCATCTATGATCAATATTCAGAATATAGCTTACAATATTTAATATTTTACTTTGTCTAGTGGTTAAGTCACCAGGCTATAAACCAAGAAACTGTGAGTTCTAGTCCTGCCTTAGGTATGAAATCCAGCTAGGAGACTTTGGGCATCACTTCACAGGGTTGTTGTGAAGAAAATAGGAAAAGGAAAGCACATTGAGTATGTTCACTGTCTTAAGTTATTTGTAAACATAATAAAAGCAGGATAAATTTTTTTTTAAAAGGAAGTGTGACTAGCATGAACAACTCTGCATCATCTCACATATTCATCTGATCGTCTTGGCAGTTTTGTCAAGATAACATTTTAGGATGCGCCAATAAAAAAGCATTACACAATATCCTGGACTTTAGATAACAATCCTATATATAGTACCATATAAGTATGTTCCATAATATTTTTACAGAAACTTTCTAAAATCCCAGATCATTTATTATGTGTAAGGATGGCTGAACAATTAAAACTTGGTTCTACAAAATAAGATGATAATTGCTGTATTTTGGAGTGTCATACCCAATTTAAAAAAAAAAAAAAAAGGCCAGTAGTTTAGTTGTGTTAAAACTTTGACTCATTTTAACAAGATTGTTCTTCAAATGTTGAAAAAGTATATAAGAACATACTTGAGATCATTGTAACAGCCAAGACAATATAGTAGTCAAATGGCAATATCTCTTTTAAAAACACATTGCATTTCCCTTCTGAATGAAAGTGTTTGGAAGAGCATCAGTCACCAAATTCTGATTAAAGACAGATATGGCAGAGAATAGCAAAAAGAAAATTTCATCTCAAGCTAGAATCATTGGTAGGTACAGCTTGACTATTACAGAATTGACTAATCAATGCCTACTCTGGCTCTTTTTCATGCAATTTCCATAATTTTGGAATAGATGAATAATAATATATGAATTTTAGAATATATGATAGGACACAATTCATAACATTATTTTTTTCAATCCCACCTGTATGCCTTGATTATTTTTATAGTATTTTTACAACAATTAATGACAAATTACAGATTTAGTTCAGATGGGCTCCCATAAATTGAACGATTTTTTCCCAAAACTGGGAAATATCTTAAATCTAAACAAAACCTAATAAAAGCTCCCAATTGGGAAAAAATACATTTTATAAGCCCTACCTTGTAGCCCCACCTGATAGACCAGATCAGAAAATCAACTCCACAGGAATGCTAAAACTTATTTCGCTGAGAATGACTATAAAAACAATCTTGCAAATGTAAGATTGGTTGTTCTACCTCCTTCCTTTTTTTCTACTTCTTGTGAATCAGAGAAGTGTCTGGCTGAGTCTTCAAAATATTTTTTGTCTGTTATAGACTGAATATGTTTGTTCTCTTATAACCTGTATATCTCTATCAAGATCATCTTTCTTATTTTACACATTTTCCTAGTCACTTACATTTGGTACATTTCATTAATATCTGACCATTAATATCCAAACAGATGGTGGGAAGATAGAAAGTCACCATATTTTCCCAAGCTTATTATATCTGAACCAGGAAACCAAGACTCTGCTCTGATGCCTCTTCTAACAGTTACTCTCAGGTGATTTCATAGTCTAAATAAAATATGCCTAGTTTTTGGCTTGGTTACTTAGAGTTACTTAGGTTTTTCTCCACTACAACCCTCCTCTGAAAAACATAATTCATGTATATGTAGTTTTAATAAATACCTGGAGGAACCTTCACTGTGTTTAGAAGCTTATTTAACTAGGAAAACTATCAAGGGACATGAGGACTGTAGGCTATACTGGGACCCTAGAAAGCAATGGCAAAACAGGAAAAATGTATCTTTGTGTCCTTTTAGTAGCCATGAAAATGTGTCTTTTTAAAAAATATATATGAATATGTGTACGCCTATACAGTATATCTTGGTTGCCAACAATGGAATATACATGCATAGTTAATACAATGCATATTTTAAAAGTTTATTTGATACAGAGGAAAAAGAAGAATGAAAGTTATATCTCAAGTGGGCAGAAGAAATTTCTTATTGCTGCCAAAGGTTTGCATTTATAAATTACAACCTCCCTCCATTTTTTTCTGTTATTCATATGTATACATTTTGAATACATATTCATATATATTCAAGCATGCATAAATATTGCTTATTTTCATTCCCATGCCAGTAAGACCAAAATGAAGAAGGGATTTAGTTTTCTGGGCCACAAGAAATATCCCTAAGAGCAGCAAGCCCTATATTTGATGGCTACTAAAATTTTTGGTAATTCAGTTGTGTTGAATGCCATCAGTTTGTTCAGATGTTTCTACATCGTATCATTTTACATTTTGCATATCCATTTGACTAATGTATTGTTATGAATGTTTTTCTATAAAATATATTAAACTTGGAGCTTTTGTTATTCCATATTATTTAGCTCTAAAAGATCAAAATTTATTTTTCTCTGCCTGCATTTAAATAATATATCTTTAATGTCTACTTAACCTTCTGTTAACCTGTTCCATTAAAATTCTTCAGACACACTGTAGTGATGCTCATAATCTCTAGTTCATTATCTTAATTAGATCTGTCCTATATTGTCCCACTCTTCATTCTCATTAGTTTAAAGGTGATCAGCCTTCAAAAGGCGGGTGGACAGAATTCACTATTGTGGCCATCTAGCATTCACCTTCTTTTGAATCTTTCAGGTGTAATAATGATGCCACTACCTGGTAGATTTAATTAAAAGTTGCTTTCAAATGATGTGAAGAGTCATTTTGGAAAATGAAGACAAAATTAATTCATGGATGTAAAATGCCTACACTATAATGGATCTGAACTGAACTGGGTTCCTTATTAAAATGTAAATGACACATTAAAAGTGGCATGAAAATTAATGTCCCTGATCCAAGAAGCACTTTTAAAAACCTTTCCTAGACCAAGAATATTTATTCAAGTAGGAGTACTAACAATGGTGTCTAAGTATTATTGTTTCAGAATTCGATTTTAAAAAGTCCTTTCTTCAAAGAACTTACCAGATTCTACTTTAAATAAATCTTGATGTACCATCACTTAACTACTGGAACATTTTAGTTTGTATCTCCAGCACCAACTTTTCATACAACACACTCATTCTTGTCAGATGAGAACAGGACCCTTTAATTTACTACAGTCTTCTTTCCACCTATTCAAGTTCATTTTCATAGCATCTCAAACAAGAAAATTTGAACACACTATGGAAAGTGGGTCTCTCTCTCCCTCTCTCCCTCTCCCTCTCCCCTCCCTCCCTCATTTTGAAAGAAGCTTCCTTTGGAAGACTTTCTGCGAATACCAGTATTAATCGTGAAGAGTTTTGTTGATGTTTCTCAGCTTTAACTTATATTATAAATCACCTTGGAAAAAATCTGGTTTTGAAGGCTATCTTATTATATTTTTAAAAAATAAATATGATAATTGTAGTCAGTGTTCTCAATCTTAGCAACTTTAAGATATGTGAATTCTGGGAATTGAAGTCCACATATCTAAAAGTTGCAATGGTTCAGAAACACTATTGTACTGTAGATAAAACACTTTTCTCTGGTCCAAATTACCCTTCTAAAAATATTGATTTAGAATAGGTAATTTTTTTTTTATTTTTAAAACAAACTTTATTCGTTAAAACAAATATAAAATACAAATATAAAAAACATACAAGTTTCTCTTAATCAAAATCAAAATTACATATACAGTACATATACAGTACTCAATTTCATCTATTGACTACTTTCTATTATTATATATACATACATATATATATGTATGTATGTATATATATATATACACAGTGACTTATTTCCTTTTCTATCCATCTGACAGTGCTGTTTTTAATTGTGTTGATTTCTTCTAAATTTCATCTTTAACCATTCCCCCTCCTCTGGTTTATCCACTGGTACCATCTATTCCATATTGTAAAGTATTTTGAGTCTTCCTTGTCCTGTAACTCTAAAGTTAGTTTTTCCATTTCTGCGCATATATAGATTTTTTGTATTAGCTCCTGGTCAATTGGCACACGATCTATTTTCCAGAGTTGTGCTAACTCTAGTCTAGCCGCTGTAATAATGTGGAGTATTAAATATTTTATATCGTTTCTAATATTCTTTTTAATCATGCCTAATAAAAAGACTTCAGGTTTTAATTCAGTTTCATAGTCTGTTATTTCTAATATCCATGTTTTTATTTTGTTCCAATATTTCTTAATTTCTGGGCAAAGCCACCAAGCATGGTAAAAAGTTCCCTGTGTTTTTTTACATTTCCAACAGGCCGGATTTACATTCGGATACATTTTTGCTAACCTTGTGGGGGCCAGATACCATCGGTACCACATCTTATAGTGATTTTCTTTATAAGATACCAATTTTGTCATGCTGTAATTGTTTTCCCATGCTCTTTCCCAGTCTTCTAACTGTATACTGTGCCCAATGTTCCTCGCCCACGCTATCATCTGCCCTTTAACCAATTCTTCTGCCAAATCATATTCAAGTAAATATTTCAAAATTAATTTCCCTTCTTTAGATTCTAGTAATTTGTCCAATCGATTTTGTTTTAAGTCTATTCCTCCCTCCTCTTGGTCCTTTCTATACCTTATCTTTATTTGTGAATAGGGCCACCAGTCTATTACTATTTCTTGTTCTTTAAGTTCTTCCCTAGTTTTCAATTTCCCCTGTACATCTACTATTTCTCTATATCTTAAGATTTTTTGTTTTGATAATATGCTAGGGTGAGTTATTGCTTCTATCGTTGATAGCCAGGCGGGAATTTTCATATAGTGTTTGCATTTGATTTGATGTGTTGATTAAAGATTTCCTGATAGTGTGGTTATTGAAATGTTTGTATATTTTATTTCCTGAGCTCCATATAAAGGCATGCTATCCCTTCATTAAGTCATGTCCTTCCAGATTTAACAGTCTTTGGTTATCCAAGGTTATCAATTCTTTGATCCATAATAGGCTTGCAGCCTTATGGTATTTTTCCCATGCCGGGAACCCAAATCCGCCTCTAATTTTGTCGTCTTGTAGTATATTTAATTTTATTCTTGATTTTTTCCCCTCCCACACAAATTTTATAGTTATTTTGTCCAAATTGTCAAAAAATTTCTTATCTAATTTTATTGGAATTGTTTGGAATAAATAAAGGAGTTTTGGAAGTATGTTTGATTTTATCGCTGCTATTCTCCCCAGCAAGGACAGTTTTAATTTCCCCCATTTATGTAAGTCCTCTTATAGGATTTACATAAAGGTTCATAATTATCTTCTTTTATTGTTGCCGTTCTAGCTGTCAAATTTATCCCTAGATATTTTACTTTTTTAACTGCCTGTAATCCAGAATCTTTTACTAATTTCTCTACCTGTTTTGTTGTCATATTTTTTGTTATCATTTTTGTCTTTTCTTTATTAATTTTTAGGCCTGCTACCTTTCCAAATTTTTCAATCTCTTTTATTAATTTCGGAGTTGTTTCTATTGGATCTTCTATGAAGAAAACAAGGTCGTCCGCAAAAGCTTGGACCTTGTAATCCTCTCTCTTAATCTTTAATCCTCGTATTTCTTTATTTGCCCTAATTCTAATTAACAGGTTTTCCAGAGTTAGAATAAAAAGTAGGGGTGACAGCGGACATCCCTACCTTACTCCTTTATTTATTCCAAAAAAATTTGTTGGATCCCCATTCACCAAGACGCATGCTTTTTGGTTCTGATATATATATTTTTTTTATTGAAAAAGTTTTCAAATACAAGTTTTTCCCCCTTTCCCCCCCTCTTCCCTAACCCCCCCTCACCACCCATCCCCCCCTGTGACTTCTTCTTCACAACAATAAGCTAATTCATAATTAATTACATAATATTTTACCATGCCCTTACTCACTCCTCAAAGTACTGACCCTTAGCATAATATTCTTATAACTCCGCTTTTCTCCGCTTTTCGCAATAATCTACCCTTTTTCTCCTCCCCCAAACTTATAAAATATTATTATTATTACAACAACATAACTTTTAATCTTTTATATATATTAATATAACATTTCAAAGCAGCCTTCTCCAAATTTAACATTTATTCAGTTCTATCCAATTCTTCCACTCCCCAAAATATATGACTTAAAAATCCTTTTTCTTAAACTAATCAATCACTAAACTAGCCTATTTCAACCCAGTTTCCTGCAAGATTACCATACACTACAATTCTAAATATAATCCACTGCCCACTCTGCTAAAATATACATATGTCTATATATACATTCCATTTTATAAAAAGAGAAAAGACAATAACTTTAAATTTATAATTCATTTAGTATCTTCTTTGATGTCTTTCCACTAGATTGTTAAATCCATCATCCATAATAGGGTAACATAGCATCCTGGTGCAACAGTTTATTCAAAATCTTCAGTCATCTTCTGCCCCCATCAATAATGAATATCCTCATGTATATATAAAAGTAAAAACAACCACCCGAGTGACATTATAATTATATTCCATATAGTTGTAATTGTGGTTTTCATCAGGATTATAAATTCCCATCATCTTAGTGGGTAACAGCCAGATCTTCTGCATGCCCCAGCATGACTCTCTTGCCTTG